AGAATAGGCCAGAGAGAGAGAGAGAGAGAGAGAGAGAGAAAGAGAAGCTGCTCAAGATAGAAACCACAGTCTTTTGTCACCTAATCTCAGAAGTAATATCCTATCCTTTGTATTCTGTTCATTAGAAATGAGTCCACAAATCCAGCCCACATGCAAGAAGAAGGAATCACACAGGAATATAAAAACCAGGAGGCAGAGGTTACTGAGAGTATTGCAGAGGTTGTGCACACGTGCACATGCATGCATGTATGCATGTACATGTATATGATCATGTATATGTATACCTACTCATACACTTAAATTTAAATACACGCACACATGTATGTGTGCACATACACATAGGTATTTATGCGTGTGTGTATCTATATATTTCTAGAGTATTTATGCTTCGAATGCCTGACTGTCATATCATATGTGTGCTAATATGTGGCATTCCTGCTAACATTTACAAGACTTCTCTCTTAGTTTATTTAGTTAGAGAATAATTTTCAATAATGATCACCAAGTCTAAATTAAGTGAAGTGAGGAAAGGGTTAGTAACTTCAGTGGCTTCAGGCATAATGGAAGTTAACTTCTATAAGTTATTGGACTTTTCCATTCTGTTCCATCTCTAATTTCAGGCTAGACTCCTTTGTTCCTGGTTCCATGATTTAGAAAGGCTGCTTTGGACCTCCTGACTGGAGGAAAAGGAGGGCTCACTGGAGATTTTACCTCCTCATCTTTTTCACACTCTTTACCTAGGGCCCTGAAATGATGTGCATGTGCTCCCCTAGACCCAGAGGATAAGCAAAGGGTGGCTGTTTGTGAGGATGGACAGAGCTTAGACATGGAGACCCATTATTCTTGGTAGAAAATGTGAAATCACACTGAAACTGTCCTGGTTTGGAATTGAAATTATTATTATTGCTATTATTTTAGTTAAGCTGAAGTTGTGTCTACAGGCATCCAGCTTTTCCAGCCAGTGTAGGAATGTTTACAAATCTGAACCGGTTTCTGTTCCTATAAAGTAGATATTTCAGAGATTGAGTGCAAATTTTGAAAGAGATGAGGTGCATATAGAAGAAATGGAAGTGGCTGCTTTCCTGAAAGAGCTTAAGAAAAAAGTTGCATGTAAGCTGTGTTTCTTCAGAATTTTGATGGCAAAGTGTTGCATGGGTTTGGAATAAGACAGTGCTTCTCCTATCAGCTCACAACCCATCACCACTCTAATAATTAAAAAAAAAAAAAAGTTGATACTTAGAACATCAGGTCATAGCATCCAGGGCATGGACCCTAGAGACTAGGAAAAGGCACTTGGGGTTAGAGAAATGAAGTTTATTTCAATAGTGTGAAGGGCAGCAGGCATTAGCCAGGAAGAGAAGGGTAAGAGAAGACAGCTTTGCAGGATGCTGCAAGATGACTAGAGGCCACTCATTGGCGACTTCAAGAAATAAATGGCAAACACTTTATAGATCCAGCTTGCAGGGCTTTATTCATTGGCATCTGGAGGTTAAAAGTTAAGCAATGAATATGAAAAGACAATTCACACAAAAAAGTACAAATGACCAATAAGCTTTTGGAAAGATAGTAAACTGTACTAAATAAATATAAAACAAAACATTGAGATTAAAAATTTCTCCAATTAGATTGCAAAGTTCAACAAAATTGATATTGAATAGAGGAAGATACCCTATCCAGAAAGGGGCATTATCATGTATGATCCAATAATCTCATGAAGGAATTTCAGCTACTGGAATAGTAGTAATCCAGGTGTGCAAAGACATCTGTTACAACATTGTTTGTCACAGCAAAAACATGGACAACATAAATGTTTATCAATGGAGTAAGAAGTAAATAAACTGTAAGATACATTACAATGGTACATAATGCCACTATTCAATTTTGTAATGCTATGTACACTGACTTGAAAAGATGGAGGTTCATGAGATGGTAAAGAGAAAAATGAAAAATGAAGAACAAATTACACGGTTTAATCCCATTTAATATCTACCTATATTAAATATAAGCAAAAGTTAGCCTACCACAATTTCACGGATGCTAGCAAAAGATGATACTTCTGAGATAAAGGATAGCTTATTACTCACAGTAATGGCATAGACAGGATATTAGTATTTCTACCAATTCTCCTATGTACAATTTCCAGAGGGCAATGTGAAATGGGCCAGATGATACCAGCACATAGAGTGGGTTATGTTACAGAAGAGGGAATTTGAACTTAAGGAAGCCAGACCTTTTACACTAGGCAGTAAGTTGTCTGAGCTTAAATTTATAATAAGCAAGGGAGACATTATCTTTATTATATTGCTGAGTAAAACAAAAACAAAAACAAAAACAAAACACCTACTCTTTGCTCTGAAGGTAGACACTATATCTACCAAGGCTGTGGGTAGACACTATAGCTTCAAAAACGGTTTGCTGTACAAATGTCCTTGAAAATGTAGTCCTTACCAAAGGCAGTTAGTGGCTTTGCTTATGCTCAATAACAGAAGAGACTCCTGGAGAATTGTCCCTCAATATGCCATTGTTATTTGCATTTTACATAAACAACAACAAAAAAGAATTGTAGCTATCAAATAAAATGGGATGTTATTTTACCTAAACTTATAACAATGAAAATTTTGATAACCTGGTCACTGAATATCATAAAAACATATGTTTTTATTAATTTTGAATATTCATTTTTTTTTTTTAGAGACAGGGTCTTGCTCTGTTGCTGGAGTAAAGTGTGATCTTGGCTCACCACAGCCTTGAACTCCTGTCCTCAACTGATTCTCCCGCTCTGGCTTACAAAGTGCTGAAATTATAGGCATGAACCACTGTGCCTGGCCAGATATATCTTTTTATGCATGTGATATAAGAATATATATATTGATTGTGGCCAACATATTGTTTATTCTATGCTCATTTTACACAGTAGAAAATGAGTGATAATGATCATTTTATTTAATACATGTTTTTTACTCACTTAGAAAAACAATATCTAGACTGATAACAGGAATTATTCAAGAAAAAATTATATAGAGAATTTTTTAAATTATGCAGCTTTAATTATAGCCATCACAGGTATATTTTTTTATCACATATTTTTTACTGAAAATTTATTCTTAAAAACCTGTTCAATATCAATAGAAGGATCTTTTACTTTGTAAACAATACACACTACCTGTCTAGGAGAGTCAATTAAATAAAAGATTTTTTGAACTGAACTTCCAGCTTTTACTATTGAAGCAATTGAACCCAAAGACTAATGTGATTTGAAGGTGGCCAACAACTAGTTAATGTCAGAGCTGAGACTAAATCCCACATGCCCGGACTTGGAGCAAAGGATTCTGTCTTCTTATCCAAATCCACATACATGATATGATAGAGCTTTCAAACTGGGGTATGCGTACCCCTGCAGGCAATGGCAGCAAGCCAGGGAGGTAAAGCCACAGGATAAACACAGAGTGTCTTGCTTCAGTGTAAATATTACACAAAGATTTGAGGAGAGTTAGGGGAACCGCTTTATTTTTATATTAAAACAAGATTGATTGTAAAGAAGAATGCATATTTTACATGAATTTGAAAAATTTCAGGCTGGATTCCTCAGGCTATAATCTGACTCTATGGAAGTAAAATTCTCTCTGTTCACTCTACTAGGAATAATTCTTTTGTAAAAATTTCATGTCACCAATGTGAGAATGTCTTGGAAGGAGGCTTTATAAAAAAAACTGTCTTCATTAACCTCCATCCTTGACATTCCATAATTAAATTTGCTTTATTTAGCCTTTGTGATCAGTTAATTTTTTCTTGAAGAAGGAACGTGTTAAGACCTTATAATAAATGAGTCTTGAGTTCCTTTCCCAAGAATATTTTTAAATTACCTGTTTAATATAAGGTGAAATGCTAAAAATAAAGGATAAACATTTTAAATGTGATTTTAGTAGAAATTAACTGGTGACTAGTTTACATCTGCAAGATGCTCTTTAAAACTATTTTGCATATGGTTATAAAATTACATTTGTGTAATGTAGAAAACTGAACAAATATTGTGAATTTTTATTTTTTTATGTAGAATATTCATGAATATCTGAAATGCTATAACACATATCAACAGCAAAAATGGGCCAATAAATTATTATATATGCCTTCTCAGTGGACTATTTCTCTCATTTGAGTTTTATTTCTAGGATAGAAACTACTTAAACAATAGTTTCTCTCCTTTTTTTTTGAGACAGAGTCAGCCTACTGCAACCCCTGCCTCCTGGGTTCAAGTGATTCCCCTGCCTCAGCCTCCCAAGTAGCTGGGATTACAAGTGTGTGCCACCACACCCAGCTAATTTTTGTATTTTTAGTATTTTGTATATTTAGTATTTTTAGTAGAGACAGGGTTTCATCATGTTGGCCTGGATGATCTCGATCTTCTGACCTTGTGATCTGTCTGCCTTGGCCTCCCAAAGTGCTGGGATTACAGGCGTGAGCCACCATGCCTGGCATCAAAATAAATATCTTGATGCAATTTTTTTTTTTTTTTTTTTTTTGAGACGGAGTTTCGCTCTTGTTACCCAGGCTGGAGTGCCAAGGCGCGATCTCGGCTCACCGCAACCTCCGCCTCCTGGGTTCAGGCAATTCTCCTGCCTCAGCCTCCCGAGTAGCTGGGATTACAGGCGTGCACCACCATGCCCAGCTAATTTTTTGTATTTTGAGTACAGACAGGGTTTCACCATGTTGACCAGAATGGTCTCGATCTCTTGACCTCGTGAGCCACCCACCTCGGCCTCCCAAAGTGCTGGGATTACAGGCTTGAGCCACCGCGCCCGGCCGCTTTGATGTAATATTTTTTAAAAAATCAAAATGTATGCAAATAGCACACATGATGAACAAAATGTCAAACTTTTAAATAGAGACATGATAAGTAGTAGTGGCTTTTATCCTTTTGCTTCAAGTTCCACAGAGACTCTGCAGGGCACCTCCTCGACCCCCCCCCCGCCCACCCTGAACATAAGACCAGAGGTACTCACACACATCTAATTTTCAGAAACCTAAATTTTCTGATATTCAAATCTTGAATCAAAACGATGATTACTGGGTGACTGCTGTTGAAGCGCTCTGATCTCCACTTGGCCTCGGACGTAGCTGATCCCCCTCTTCCTGGCATCCACCGCGCGCAGGGGTAACATGCGTGTGTCCAAGGCAGAAGCGTGGGTGCTGCAGGGCCACACGTGCAAACGTCACAGAAGTCAGTGTTTGGCTTCAAATATTCCCCATTGTGGATTGGCTTTCAGTCAACGGGAATGCAGTAACCGTTGGTAACAGAACAATGAGCTGCGCGCCAAGCCAAGTCTCTTGGTGTCACAGGCGGGAGCGGCAGGATTAATCACCGCTACCGCTGCCGCTGGCCACCCCTGTGTGCTGATGTCCTGGGACCCGATCCCCGTACCCCGTGCTTTCCGATGCTGGAGCCTACGGAGGGCGTCCGAAACGGCCCTACAGAGCAGTCGCCGGGTAAGCAGTACCTGCCTTCCCAGGCCACCAGCCCCTCAGGCCCCCTGCCCCAGGGCCTCACGTCCTCCTGAGGACTCTAGGCAGGTACTGAATTTGGAGGGAAATTTCAGTAGCCTGAAGATGGAGATAGGTCAGATTTCAAATTAGTTAGTTACCATAAACGGAAAAAAGAGTCCAGCACAAAATTAGGATGTGAACAGCAATGTGCGGTGGCAAACCCCATTCTGCACCGCCTGGGCTGGAAGTCTTTATTCTCCTAGGTGGGGTTTGGGGACTTCCCCATCCACACTAATAGGCTCATATTGACCTTTCGAAACTCAACATCTGCTGCGTATATAATTATGGTGCTTTGGAGATTAAGTGAAATGGAGATTAAGTAAATTTTGCAGTCCTGATTCTCCGTGTGTGTGTGTGTGTGTGTGTGTATCCCTGATATATTGTTCCCAGCAAGTGTAATCGACACCTTGAAGAGCAAACATTACTTGATGAACCCTACAAGCAGAGTTGAGAGCAGCTAAGATAATGATTAAAAGAATATTTGGGTGGGAAAAAATAATCTCAGAATTGTGACAGGTGAGACCTAGCAACGTAGCAAGGTTTTCTGGAATTCTCTGACTCATCTGCAAAGTGGTGGTGGTGGTGGTTGGGGGTGGGGGGGTGGTTGATTAAACCAACCTGAGAGTTCTGTGATGAATTGAAAGCTCCTCACACTAAGTCCTAACTTGTGCCTGCGTGTTGCATGGAGGAATAAGAATTTATCATCAGAGAGGACATTTTCTTCTGTAGGTTTTAGTACTGGCCTTATTCTTCTGGGATTTAATAATGCTACCATTTTCAAACTTTTTTTTCCTTTGATTATAGATCCTCAGGCACTGGGCTGTGGAGGAAGCAACTGCTGTTCTCCCCACACTAGAACTGTTCAAAACCCAATTTTGTGATGAACTCTTTTTATTTTCCTTTCATGTTAACCAATTAATTTGAAATCTGACTTTTCCCCCTCTTCAGGCTGTTGAAATTTCCCTCCAAATTCATTCTTGTTTCTGAGTGAGATCCTCCACCAGCCAATATAATGCTGTAGATCGAAAATATACCTTCTTCAAATGCCCCTCTGCCTCCACTGTCCTTTTGTTCCTACACCTCACTTGACTCCTCTGTCTCCTTTTCAACATGCTTCCCTCTCCTTTCTCTCCATGTAGACACTTCATCATAATCTTCTTTAGACCCACTCTCCTCTGGTTAACTAACTCATCAGATCTGCACAGCTGCCGGGATGAGATCTCTGATGAGGTCCACATTTACATTTGCAGCTTTCTGGTGGGTGCCTTGACCTGTATGTTCCACCAGGGCCTTAATCTCAGCATTTCTCAGCTGCATCTGTCTTCCCTCCTTGTCACCTTTCTGATCATCAAGTCACCACATCATCATCATCATCGCCTGTGACTTCCCTCCTGCTAAGTCTCTGCCTCCATTTACTTGTCAGTTCCCATTCATTCTCCCTAAACATGCCCAATGTCATATCTGTTCATTGCTCATTCACACTTGCCTCCACCCTGGGGCAGGCTCATTAGCTGGTGCACTTCATTTTCCAGAGGCAGCCTTGCTTCCTGTCTACAGTTCTCACTCTACCCCAGGATCCCATACACATCACTGTGAGTCATTCTCCTGATGCCTAGCTTTCTCACATGTTTTTTCTAGATCAAAATCCAGTAATATCTTCCTGTTGCCCCAGAAGTGAGCACAATGCTGAACCACACATGAGTTAGGTGATTGAACAAACCAAGGACACCAACAGAGGAGGAAACATGTTTGCGAAATAACTTGATATTCAATATTGTATAAAAGCATTGATACTGTTATCCTGGGAAAAAATCAGAATTAAAATTTCTTACATGAATTTTACCATATAGTTACCTAGAATATATATTTCATATATATGTACATATACATGTTTATATATCATCTAAAATTAAATGATGTTAAGATAGAGTTCTCAAGGCCTGAAGAGGTTTTCTCTGGGCACTAAGTACACACTTCTGAGCCTAAATTTCAAAGTTGGCATAAATAATATGAGCCCAACCCATCTTTCTTAATTTATTTCTCACAATTGGCTTCCACATGCCTTTTACTTCAGCCTAAGGCTGTACAGACCCATGTACCTTACACATTCTTCAGCTTCTTCTGTTTTTTTTTTTTTTTTTTTTGAGAAGGAGTTTCGCTCTTGTTACCCAGGCTGGAGTGCAATGGCACAATCTCGGCTCACCGCAACCTCCGCCTCCTGGGTTCAGGCAATTCTCCTGCCTCAGCCTTTTGAGTAGCTGGGATTACAGGCACGCGCTACCATGCCCAGCTAATGTTTTGTAATTTGAGTACAGACGGGGTTTCACCATGTTGACCAGGATGGTCTCGATCTCTTGACCTCGTGATCCACCGGCCTCGGCCTCCCAAAGTGCTGGGATTACAGACGTGAGCCACCGCACCCGGCCACTGCTTCTTCTGTTTTGTGCATTTAGTCTCCTCTTCCACCAACATCCGATTTCTAATTTTCTTCACCTCTTAAGGCCCAGCCTGTCAGTTGTGCCCTGAAATCTTCCATCATGTTCAAGCTAACAGTACAGGCATACTTCATTCTACTGTGCTTCACTATATTGTGCTTTGCACGTACTGGGGTTTTTTTTTAATGTTACTATTGTAATTGTTTAAGAGACCACAAACTGTGCCTCTATAAGTTGGCGAACTTAATTAAATTCCTTTAGATGAAGGCATGTGACTAGTGAAACTGTGTGTTGACTGGGAACTGGAATTGTTCCACCACGGATTCACTAAAATATGAACTGGCACATTTTCATGTTTCTTGGCACTTTTATATTAATATTTTTTGTATCAGATTCATGCAGAATTACTGATTGGAAAGAAACATGCTGTGATAAAAACTTGTATAAATAATTATGATAGTGATTTACATATTATGCTGATACATTTCATTTCTCTTTTACCTTATATTTTTTGACATTTGATTTAAATCTTTAGACATTCTATGGCTAAAATTTTCAAAACGTGCATTACTTTCTGATTATCAGATTAATATGCGCTTATTGTAAAATACTAAAACATCACTAAAAATATATATTGCCTAGAAAATGAAAGTCCCTCATGATCTCAAGTGATGACTTTGGCTAATAATTTGAAGTGTGTGCATTTTGTATACATATAAATATGACTTAACAAAAATATTATTACACATATTATACTGCCAATTACTTTTCTATTTATAAATATATTTTAGATATCTTTAGATGTCTAGATATCCATCTGTATTAGAGTTCTCCAGAGAAATGAAACAATAGGATATATAGAGATACATAGAAAAATGCTTATTATGAGGAACTGGCTCACTTGATTATGAAGGCTGTCCCACAATCTGCTGTCTGCAATCTGGAGCCCGGGAGAGAGCCACTAATGTCATTTAGTCCAAGCTCAAAGACCTGAGAACTAGGAATGCTGAATGCTAAAGGCAGAAGATGGATGTCCTAGCTCCAGAAGAAAAAATGAATTCACATTCCTCTGTTTTTCTGTTCTACTAGGGCCCTCAGTGGCTTGGATGATATCCACCTCCCATTGTCGAGAGTGATCTTTACTCAGTCCACTAATACTAACGCTAATCTCTTCCAAAAATATCCTCAGAAACACACCCATAATGTTTTACCTGCTATCTGGGCATCCCCTAGTCCGGTCAAATTTATATATAAAATTAGCCATCAGACCACCTCTCTATTTTTAAACCACTTCACAGTATTCCATTGTGACGTCACATGTCAATTTAACATGCATTCTAATTAATGGGGACTATTTCACAACCACAGAAAATGTATGCTGAAATAAGCAGTGATAATCATATTTGTCTGTGTGTTTGCACCTGTGTGTTTCTGAGTCCTGGAGGTAGAATGGCTGGATCAATTTAAAAGCACATTTATAATTTTAATAGATGGCTGCCAAGTTTTAATTCTTCTTTAGGTAGGCTATAACCACCCCAAACACTATGCAAAGTTGTGACTGACTGTACATAATAGAGGCTGGTAGCTGACATCTTTAAATACCCAGATGAGAATGTCTAAGCCTGATCCAATGGGTTTTTCCAAGGCCCAGGTTTAGCTTGTGTAAGTGGGTAACAAAACACCCTGATGGTAATGTCTACACCTGAGCCTATGAATACTCCTAGCCCCTATATTCAGCTTGCTTAACAAGGAGTCAAAGGAAGTTTGGGACTATAAAAGTGCAGCTGCTCTCCATCACTAGGATACCTACCTTCCTCATTTCTGTAAATATGTTTGTTACAGTAAATATAACTCCTGTTAAAGTCCTCTGCTAAATAGTAAAACCACTGTCAAAATTTCATAAATCACTCAGAAAGATTTATAATTCAGTTATAACCTCACCAGTCACAGCAAATCCAAGCTAAAATTTGGTGACTATTTTGACCCTGATAATTACAATGTTTGTCAGATTCCAGAATTACAATGATTATACTTTTCACTTTTGTCATGTCTTGTTAGCTCTTCTTTTTCATGGCAAATTATAGACAGACCTTACTTTTTTCATATTATTTCAGGTCATGTGGCCTATTAATGTTATTTTATAATTTAGCAAAGGACTTCAAGGAAAAAAAGCAAAGTATTTAAGTAGATGTTGCTAAATTTTTCTTTTCTTTTTTTTTTTTTTTTTTTAATTTTTTATTGGATTATAGGTTTTGGGGTACATGAGCAGAGCATGCAAGACAGTTGCATAGGTACACACATGGCAGTGTGCTTTGCTTTTCTTCTCCCCTTCACCCACATTTGGCATTTCTCCCCAGGCTATCCCTCCCCACCTCCCCCTCCCACTGGCCCTCCCCTTTTCCCCCCAATAGACCCCAGTGTTTAGTACTCCCCTTTCTGTGTCCATGTGTTCTCATTTTTCATCACCCACCTATGAGTGAGAATATGCGGTGTTTCATTTTCTGTTCTTGTGTCAGTTTGCTGAGGATGATGTTTTCCAGATTCATCCATGTCCCTACAAACGACACGAACTCATCATTTCTGATTGCTGCATAATATTCCATGGTGTATATGTGCCACATTTTTCCAATCCAGTCTATTATCAATGGGCATTTGGGTTGATTCCAGGTCTTTGCTATTGTAAACAGTGCTGCAATGAACATTCGTGTACATGTGTCCTTATAGTAGAACGATTTATAGTCTTTTGGATATATACCCAGTAATGGGATTGCTGGGTCAAATGGAATTTCTATTTCTAAGGCCTTGAGGAATCGCCACACTGTCTTCCACAATGGTTGAACTAATTTACACTCCCACCAACAGTGTAAAAGTGTTCCTTTTTCTCCACATCCTCTCCAGCATCTGTTGTCTCCAGATTTTTTAATGATCGCCATTCTAACTGGCGTGAGATGGTATCTCAATGTGGTTTTGATTTGCATCTCTCTGATGACCAGTGACGATGAGCATTTTTTCATATGATTGTTGGCCTCATATATGTCTTCTTTCGTAAAGTATCTGTTCATATCCTTTGCCCACTTTTGAATGGGCTTGTTTGTTTTTTTCCTGTAAATCTGCTTGAGTTGTTTGTAAATTCTGGATATCAGCCCTTTGTCAGATGGGTAGACTGCGAAAATTTTTTCCCATTCTGTTGGTTGCCGATCCACTCTAGTGACTGTTTCTTTTGCTGTGCAGAAGCTGTGGAGTTTCATTAGGTCCCACTTGTCTATTTTGGCTTTTGTTGCCAATGCTCTTGGTGTTTTGTTCATGAAGTCCTTGCCTACTCCTATGTCCTGGATAGTTTTGCCTAGATTTCCTTCTAGGGTTTTTATGGTGCCAGGTCTTATGTTTAAGTCTTTAATCCATCTGGAGTTAATTTTAGTGTAAGGTGTCAGGAAGGGGTCCAGTTTCTGCTTTCTGCACATGGCTAGCCAGTTTTCCCAACACCATTTGTTAAACATGGAATCCTTGCACCATTGCTTGTTTTTGTCAGGTTTATCAAAGATTGTATAGTTGTATGTATGTTGTGTTGCCTCCGGTGCCTCTGTTTTGTTCCATTGGTCTATATCTCTGTTTTGGTACCAGTACCATGCTGTTTTGATTACTGTAGACTTGTAGTATAGTTTGAAATCCGGTAGTGTGATGCCCCCCGCTGTGTTCTTTTTGCTTAGAATTGACTTGGCTATGCGGGCTCTCTTTTGGTTCCATGTGAAGTTCATGGTGGTTTTTTCCAGTTCTGTGAAGAAAGTCAATGGTAGCTTGATGGGGATAGCGTTGATTCTGTAAATTACTTTGGGCAGTATAGCCATTTTCACGATATTAATTCTTCCTAACCATGAACATGGAATGTTTCTCCATCTGTTTGTGTCCTCTCTGATTTCGTTGAGCAGTGGTTTGTAGTTCTCCTTGAAGAGGTCCCTTACGTTCCTTGTGAGTTGTATTCCAAGGTATTTTATTCTTTTTGTAGCAATTGCGAATGGCAGTTCGTTCTTGATTTGGCTTTCTTTAAGTCTGTTATTGGTGTAGACGAATGCTTGTGATTTTTGCACATTGATTTTATATCCTGAGACTTTGCTGAAGTTGTTTATCAGTTTCAGGAGTTTTTGGGCTGAGGCGATGGGGTCTTCTAGGTATACTAACATGTCGTCTGCAAATAGAGACAATTTGGCTTCCACCTTTCCTATTTGAATACCCTTTATTTCTTTTCTTGCCTGATTGCTCTGGCTAGAACTTCCAGTACTATATTGAATAGAAGTGGTGAGAGAGGGCATCCTTGTCTAGTACCAGATTTCAAAGGGAATGCTTCCAGTTTTTGCCCATTCAGTATGATATTGGCTGTTGGTTTGTCATAAATAGCTTTTATTACTTTGAGATACGTTCCATCGATACCGAGTTTATTGAGGGTTTTTAGCATAAAGGGCTGTTGAATTTTGTCAAATGCCTTCTCTGCGTCAATTGAGATAATCATGTGGTTTTTGTTTTTGGTTCTGTTTATGTGGTGAATTACGTTGATAGACTTGCGTATGTTGAACCAGCCTTGCATCCCTGGGATGAATCCTACTTGATCATGATGAATAAGTTTTTTGATTTGCTGTTGCAATCGGCTTGCCAATATTTTATTGAAGATTTTTGCATCTATGTTCATCATGGATATTGGCCTGAAGTTTTCTTTTCTTGTTGGGTCTCTGCCGGGTTTTGGTATCAGGATGATGTTGGTCTCATAAAATGATTTGGGAAGGATTCCCTCTTTTTGGATTGTTTGAAATAGTTTTAGAAGGAATGGTACCAGCTCCTCCTTGTGTGTCTGGTAGAATTCGGCTGTGAACCCATCTGGACCTGGGCTTTTTTTGTGAGGTAGGCTCTTAATTGCTGCCTCAACTTCAGACCTTGTTATTGGTCTATTCATAGTTTCATCTTCCTCCTGGTTTAGGCTTGGGAGGACACAGGAGTCCAGGAATTTATCCATTTCTTCCAGGTTTACTAGTTTATGTGCATAGAGTTGTTTGTAATATTCTCTGATGATGGTTTGAATTTCTGTGGAATCTGTGGTGATTTCCCCTTTATCATTTTTTATTGCATCTATTTGGTTAAATTTTTATTTTCAATACAAAACCTATGCGAATAAAAGTTGCTTCTCCACCAAAAATTCTCACAGCATGAGTATGTTAGCAACTCATGAAAAATGAAGGCACCATTGCTTGCCAAGCAAGGAAAAATGTATTTATTCATTTGTTCAGAGAAAAATGACATGTATTCATTCATTTTATGTTTTTTGAGAACTTACTGCCTGCCAAGCATAATGTGAAAGGCACAAAAAAGAAAGTCCTATAATAATGTACATTTTATCCTACTCCCTCCACCTCCAACCCTGATGCTGGGTGATTTCTATATAGGAAATCTATGAAATACTAATTCTTCATGGTCAAAGAAACATTTAAGAATAGTTATTTAAAGACCAAATTACCTTGCCTCATAGAGAATAAAAAAGTTGCATTTGGTGTATATGTACACATAAATATTTTTCTCTCTCTAATTTAAATTATTTAAACATCTGTGCCCAGGATTAAGGGTAATGAAATTTAACCACAAAGATGAGTAAATAATACATAATTATAGTGTTCGCATTTATCAGTTTAGAATGGTTACCTCCATATTCACCTTTCTTTTGATCTTGTTGTTGACATTATTGTTATTGACTGCAAATGCCTCAGCATTTTTGTTCGTTGGAATGTAGTTTGACATTAATTATATGTTATCAGGCAGTTGAAGATCAGCTAAAGATATGTGGCCACAAGAGGGATGATGATGTCTTTGAACTGTTCCTTTCTAAAAAGTAAGTGTACTTAACAGAAAAAGTGGAAGAATATCATGTTATCATGTTTCATGGATTCAAATGTTTTCATTTTTTCCCCTCAAGGACTGCAATCTACTCCAATTATACTCCATACTCCAATTATTTTACCACTTGCTGGAGTCCACAGTTTTCTATTGGAAAGACTTGATACTGAAATTGATAAAAACAAAGATTATGGAAACAGGCTGTTTGAATCCCAGCTCTGTCTCTTCCAGCGGCTTTGTCTCTTCCAGCTGGGTGATCTTGGTGTTATAAGCAAAATTTTTGGTGCCACAAAAGAAGTAGCACTCAAATATAAATTTCCTCAGCAAGGCAATTTTCTTCTATAGAAGGGTGCGGCTCACAGATGGAACAATGGTGAGCACACACCCAGATAAGGGAGAAGAAGGAATACTTATTCCTGATGGAGGATTGCCCCTACTGCTGTGTCGTTCCCCTGCTGGCTAGGGTTACATGGCAACTGTACAGTCTAGACTAATTCTGACTGGGTATCTTAAAGGGAGCAGGGGTATGAGCTGAAGAGGTGGGGTGGGTTGTCTGGTGGGAAGGACGGTTACAGGCAGGTCAGAGCAGGTAGCTAGGGGTCAAAGCAGGTGACCAGAGCAGGTGACCAGGATGAGTCAGGACAGAGCAGAAGGCCCGGAGAACAGATGTGAACTACTGATTAGAACTGGTGGAAAAGGTTGTTTACTGAAACGACAAGGATGTCAAACTTTAAAATGGAGAATTAAAGAATAAGAGAGCTGAACATAACTGACATACTGATTCTTCAAAGAGAAACTTGGGGTATCATAACATTGGGTATATCATATAACCTCCCTGTTTTGATTGTCAGATTTGACAAATAAGTATACAAGACAACCAGCTGAATTTGAATTTCACAGAAATAACAAATATAATTTTATTTAGTATAGTATGTCTCACACAGTAGTTGGAAAATTTGTTGTTTCCCTGAAATTCAAATGTAGCCCAATATCCCATATTTTATCTGGTAACCCTATTCCCTAGGTATAATTATACTACCTCATTCTCAGGGTTGTTGTGAAGCTTGGGTGAGTTAGTAAAAGTTGGTCAAAGTTACTGGTACACAGTAAGCACTCAATGAGCATTAGTACAGTTAATACTATCACAATTATTAGGAATCATTATACCACATACTATAATAATAATCCCTGTCATACTACAACCTCTAACAATCCCCATACCAATTTTACTGGTGAATAGGAAAACCACTCTCTTATATCAACAGCCTACTTTGATTCCACTCAAACTCCCCAAGGTGGTAGACAACAAATTGGGTTTTTCTATAGAGTAGAATGAGATAGAATCCAGGTATGAGAGGAAAAGGGAGTTATAAGTAAGATTAGATTCTGATACTACAGTTCTCATTGGCCAATAAGTGACACTAAGTTTGCATTTTAACCACAATGACCCTATTTCTATATTTTAGTCTCCCTGCTTTGTACTTTTTGATGCCTCTGAATTGTGTGTATTATTTTTAAATAGGTTTGATATATTTTTGCTCATATGTAATCTTTGGAACTCAGCTTCTTATAAAGAAAATGCCTTAGTTTATCAATGATTTTAATTGCTTTTATTTCTAGTGATTTGGGGAAATCCTTTATTATTATATTCTTTTTATTATAAATTAATATCTATGCTTATCAGTGCAGAGAAAAGTGTTTATCTTTGTAATGGCTCTGAATCTCTTGGTAGTAAAGGAATAAATTGATGACCTGTTTGAAATGTTTAAAAATATATTTAGTATGGAACAGGTATGGGAGAGCATTCTGACATATTTAAGGTCATGCTTTGAGCCTCTTAATATAGGTCAGTTAGTTTTACAATAACAATAAATACTTCATGTAGTCAAAAGATTGTATCTTCCATAATTTTGACAATTGTATACTACTGATCATTATAGTAGATGATAAGAATAGCTTTACAAATACTAGAAAAATTGAGATATTGACCACCTGACAGTGGATAATTAATGGTCTCCTTGTGAGAAGGACAACACCTTTTGCATTTTAAGGATACTAAGTTACCATTTCATCCAGCTGTATTTCCAAAAGTATCTAAAAAGTAATTCCCAGTCCAGATGCCAATACACTGGTATGCTGGGTTATTTGCATAAGTTTCTGTTGACTCTGGGAAATGGAAAGCATCTTATTGATGTGTTCTTGAGTGATCAGGGAGAATATACATTGTAACAAGATGTTGAAAATTATTGTCAGCAGTAGTCATAGCCATCGTTAGTAGAATTACCTCTCATTATCCTTTGACTGGCCTCACCTAATGGTGTAACAGCCCGTTATTGATTTAGGACACATTTATGTGCAGAATAAACCCTTCTGACAAGAAGGAGTTAAAGTACCATTGAAAAGTGAATTTACATAATGTTAGATGTGGGCTTAATACTTTTAATTAAATTTAAAAAAAGAAAAAACTGAATTTATTACATTACCTAATCAATGAAAATTCAAGATTGATATTACTACCAAAAAATTAATGAAAGTAACAACACAGTTAATACTTTAATATATTAGTGTATTAAAATAACTTTGGGGGTGGGCACAGTGGCTCACTCCTGTAATCCTAGCTATTTAGGAGGCCGAAGTGGGTGGGTCACTTGAGGTCACAAGTTGAAGACCATCCTGGCCAACATGGTGAAACCCTGTCTCTACTAAGAATACAAAAATTAGTTGGGCATAGTGGTGCATGCCTGTACTCCCAGCTACTCAGGAAGCTGAGGCACGAGAATTGCTTGAACCTGGGAGGTGGAGGTTGCAGTGAGCTGAGATCATGCCACTGCACTCCAGCCTGGGTGACAGAGCTAGTCTCAGTTTCAAAAAATAAAATAAAATAAAAATCTTTTTGTTTTCTTCTTTTTTTAATTATTATTATTTTTTTCTTTTTTTTTTTTTTTTTTTTTTGCCTTATGTGAGCTCTTCTCCAATGGAGAGCCAACCCAAATGCATACATTCAGGGTCCTTGCATAATTCAGACGATGCTCAGATAAGAGCTGGGCATTTGGAAACACTTTTCCTCCTTAGCATCTGAGGTCACTGGGTAGATAAGGAATCCTCATGATGAAATTATGAAGTAAGAAACTGTAGTAACATTTTTTTTTGAAAGAAAGAAAAGAAAGGAGTGAAGGAGAGGAAGAAAAAGAGGGAGAGAAAACGGGAATGTAGCTTTATTCTAAAAATGGGTATTAATAATGGCTCATCAATATTTTGTGTATTCTGTGTATATAAAATGGAGAGTTCTATAAATATTTATTGAGTTTACTTGTTCAGGATCTAACTTCAAGTCCTGGATCTCCTTATTAATTTTCTGTCTTGTTGAGTCTAAATCTCTTTATGAGTCTTATGTATCTGGGTGTTAGGATTGTTAGCTCTTATTGTTGCATTGATCCTTTTACCACTATATCTTTGTTGCTTCGAAATCTGTTTTATCAGATGCGAGAATTGCAACTCCTGCTTTTTATTTATTTATTTATTTTTGCTCTCCATTTGGTGGTAAATCTTTCTCCATCCCTTTGTTTTAAGTCTCTTTGTATCTTCGGATGTGAAATGGGTCTGGATGTAGCATATAGTTAGGTTTTGGCTGCATCTTTTGATTGGGGGATTTAGTCAACTTAAATTTAGGGTTACTGCCATTTGATGTTAACTGGCTATTTTATCCATTTGTTGATGTAAATTCTTCTTTATGTTGATGCTCTTGACTTTTTGGTATATTTTTAGAAAGGCTAATACTGGTTTTTCCTTTCTATGTATAATGCTGCTTTCAGAAACTCTTGTAAAGCTGGCCTGGTGATAATAAAATCTCTGAGTACTTGCTTGTTCATAAAAGAGTTTATTTTTCCTTCATTTGTGAAGCTTAATTTGGCAGGATATGAAATTCTGGGCTGAAAATTCTGTTCTTTAAGGATGTTGAATATTGGCCCCTACTCTCTTCTGGCTTGTAGGGTTTCTGCTAAGAGATCTGCTGTAAGTCTAATAGGCTTCCCTTTGTGGGTAACCTGACCTTTCTCTCTGGCTGCCCTTAGTATTGTCTCCTTCATTTCAACCCTGGTGAATCTAACAATTATGTGCCTTGGGGTTGCTCTTCTTGAGGAATATCTTTGTGGTGTTCTCTGTATTACCTGGAGTTGAATACTGTCCTGCCTTGCTAGGTTGAGAAAGTTTTCCTGAATAATATCCTGAAGAATATTTTCCAGCTTGGATTCATTCTCTTCATCGTATTCAGGTACACCTATCAAACATAAATTAGGTCTTTTCACATAGTCCCATATTTCTTGGAGACTTTGCTCATTCCTTTTTATCCTTTTTTCTCTATTCTTGTCTTCCTGTGTTATTTCATTAAGTAGGTCTTCAACCTCTAATATCCTTTCTTCTGCTTGATCAATTCGGCTATTCAAACTTGTGCATATTTTGCTAAGTTTTTGTGTTGTGTTTTTCAACTCCGCTAGTTCATTTATATTCCTCTCTATATTGTCTATTCTTGTTAGCATTTCGTCAAACCTTTTTTCAAAGTTCTTAGTTTCTTTATATTTGGTTAAAAGAAGTTCTTTTAACTCCCAGAAGTTTCTTATCATCCACCTTCTGAAGCCTACTTATGTTAATGGCACACAGTCCTTTTCCATCAGGGCTTGTTCCATTGCTGATGAGGAACTATAATCCCCTGTAGAGGGAGAGGGGTTCTGATTTTGGGTATTCTCGGCCTTTTTAGGCTGGTTTCTTCCCTTTGTTATAAATTTATCCATCTGTCGTCTTTACAATTACCACCTTTCTAGTTGGGTTTCTGAGTGGATGCCCAGTTTATTGATTCCCAGCGCTGGAATCCGAGTAACCCACTGTGCAGGCCAAAACAGCAGCAATAAGACTGATGGTGCTCTTCTGCCCGGGAATCTCCTCCTGTTTACTCTGCATGAAGAGCTGCCACACCAAGGCTCCGGCAAAACCGCTGCGCCGGCCACAAGAGTCGCACTGGCAACCTGTGGGGCCCCTCCACTGGGAATCTTCTGGTCTGTGAACGACGAAAATTTGTCTGAAAGTGTGGCGTCCTCTCATTCTCTGCATTTTCACTGTGAGCTACAATCCCAAACTGTTAGCGATCAGCCACCTTGGATCAAAACTAAATGGATTGAAATGAGTTAAGAGTTTTCTATCTTAACTCTTATTTAAAAAATAAAAATCTTTTATGGAAAATTCTCTGAGTGGGGCCTTAGATACTCTAATGTAGCCATGTAATGATTTCTTTACTATTTATCATGGGAACAGATGAAGTTAACATACTCTCACTATTGCCCATTGCAATATTAGGGTACCCCAAGGTCCAAGTACTCTTTCCCTGAAATAAGCTACGTATCTACAGTGAGAGAGGAGAATGTATTATTATTTCTGCAACTTTCCTACTAAAAGTTGCTTTGAGGCCAGACAAGGTGGCTTATGCCTGTAATCCCAACTCTTTGGGAGGCCAAGACAGGTGGATCACCTGAGCCCAGGAGTTTGAGACCAGTCTGGCCAACATGTGAAATCCCATCTCTACAAAAATTAGCCAGATGTGGTGACATGTGCCTGTGGTCCCAGCTACTTGGGAGGCTGAGGTGGGAGGATCACTTGAACCCGGGAGGTAGAGGTTGCAGTGAGCCGAGATTGAGCCACTGTACTCCAGCCTGGGCAAGAGTCTAAAATAATATTCTATTTTTCTAAAAATAATAATAAGTTGCTTTGGGAGACAATGAAATATTTTGTTGTGCCAGGGAATTGCTAAGAAACTAATGGTACATGTTAGAAAGACACAAGATTCTGCTTGAAAAGTCTTTTATAAAGGGAGAATTTGATAATTGTTTTAAGCAATAAAGGATTGAGGAAAAACTCTTGAAAATTCAGGGAAGATGGGAAGGAGAATGAATAAGAAAGAAGAGGAGGGGACAGATGTTCATTACAGAAGAATAACAGCTAATTAATGTAAAAAGAATAAGAATATTAAAAAAATCATTTTATAATCCCAAATCTGTTGGCTCAGGTAAGGATCATCAAGGAAAGCTAAAGCTATTGAGTAAAGAGTTGTCAGGGCACAAGATATACACATGGTCTCAGATATTCACCTCATGAAAGAGTTTCCAATTATAAAATTTGTACTTTTACAGTGGAGAGAACTGGCAGATACCATCTTAACCAAATGACTCAATTTAGCTTCATCAAGAGTGGGACAGACTGATATCCTCACATGATTCATTAATTACCACCCATGTAAATGAGAACTAGACATGATCTTCCTTGCATTTGATCATTAGGAAATAAAAAAAATCAATAATGTGGGCTGGGCATGGTGGCTCATGCCTGTAATCCCAGCACTTTGGGAGGCCAAGGCGGGTGGATCACAAGGTCAAGAGATCGAGACCATCTTGGTCAACATGGTGAAACCCCATCTCTACTAAAAATACAAAAAAAAAAATTAGCTGGGCATGGTGGCATGTGCCTGTAATCCCAGCTACTCAGGAGGCTGAGGCAGGAGAATTGCCTGAACCCAGGAAGTGGAGGTTGCAGTGAGCCAAGATTGTGCCATTGCACTCCAGCCTGGGTAACAAGAGCGAAACTTCGTCTCAAAAAAAAAAAAAAAAAAATCAATAATGTGAGACGTTCTACCAGAGAATTATACTGGACTCTCCAAAAAGCTAATGTCTTTTGGTTTTTATTTTGTTTTATTTTGTTTTGAGATGGAATTTTGCTCTTGTTGCCCAGGCTGGAGTGCAATGGTGCGATCTTGGCTCACTGCAACCTCTGTCTCCTGGGTTCAAGTGATTCTCCTGCCTCAGCCTCCCAGATAGCTGGGATTACAGGCGCATACTACCATGCCTGTCTAATTTTTGTAGTTTTAACAGAGATGGTGTTTCACCATGTTGGCCAGGCTGGTCTCAAACTTTTGACCTTAGGTGATCCACCCACCTTGGCCTCCCAAAGTGCTGGGATTACAAGCATGAGCCATGGCGCTCAGCCGAAAAAGCTGATGTTAAGGGAGAAAAAGAAAAGAAAGTGACTACCTTTAAAAAGAGTAAAAGGTTTGTCTAAAAGAAAAGAAAGTGACTACCTTTAATAAGACTAAAAGGTTTCACTAAAATGCAATGCATGATTGTCGATAGGATACAAGATTTAAACCAAAAGAAATGCAGGATTGACAGGGAAATTGTAAATATGAATGGCATTTTAGATTATATTACTGAATTCAATTTCATTTTCTTAGGTGTGAGGATAGTAACGTGATTATTCAGGACAATGCTCTGTTATGGGAGATACACATGCTGAACTCCCTAGGTTGAGACATCTGCAATAAGCCTGCAACTTTATCTTCAAATGATTCACCAAGAAAATTATCAACCAATAAATATGTAAACTAGATAGATAGAATGAGCATGTGACAATATGTTGAAAATTATGATGGTTACACAAGTGCTCATTATACTATTCCTTTATCTTTTCTCAGGTTTGACATTTTTCAATATAAAAAGTTGGTGACAAAAGATTTATTTTGTTTAGAAATGTTAGCATGCTTTAGTCCTTCTAATCTGTCCCAAGATTAAAAATAATTGTGGTAGAATATTACCATAAATATGTGTAACAATAATAATAAATATTGATATTTTTGTGCTTTGAAAAGTACCTGGCACACAATATGTGATCCAGAAGCATTTGATAAATAAACAGATACATATATGTATAGACTGTGTTCCACAATTTCTGCCCTGAGAAATAGGGGATCCAACTACTCCAGGCCACATCATCAAATGACCAACTATCCTCAGACAGTGCCCTCTCCCCAACCCACATCTGCCCCTTTGTTGACTGAGCTGCCTTAGCAACAAGAACCAAGACCACTTGGACAGGTGGAGTCTCATACAGTTCAAGAAAAGTGGGTAATATTTTAATCCCATAATTAATAAATAAAGGGAGAATAAAGCATTTCCCACAATATCTGTCTCTTGATGTCCTGCAATTTCCATTTGAGTCCAGTCTGGCCAAAAACTTCAGGATTATTGCCCTACAGTAATAACGTCACAGACAGTATTGAAGCAGGACCCAGCTACATTCCCCACATTTACTTGAAAGTCCAATATCACCTTCACCTTTTTCCTTTGTCCTCTCCCCAGTAAAACTTGTTTTGAAGTAAGGTTCCAATAAATTCAGTCATAATGAGGTGTACAGTTTTGCTAATGTGATAAAGTGCTCTCCCTTAAGTATTAGCTTTAACTAGCTGACAAAACCATAATCCAGATGGATGAAGTTATAATGATAGTTTCTGAAACAAGCAGGTGAGTATGCCAATAATTTTGAAAAGACAAAGCCTTTCTAGTTACTCCCAAGCCTTACTAACTACATGCCCAGGCTTACCTATGAGTGAACTAACTGTTGCTAATTTCACATTTTTTTTTTCTTCCCAGGGAACTGACAGAGGTCATTGATCTTTCCAGGTTTAAAAAATTAAAATACTTATGGCTTCATCATAACAAGGTAGTATTGTATTTTATCTTTCAATTACTAAAATTACTATCTTAGTTGTATGTTCCTAGTAGAGTTAATCTTTAAAAGTATTAAATTTTTTGCTTAAAATGTAAATTTGACTAAGAAACTGCTATACAACATATATATCTCATATATATATATGTTGTATATATATATCTGTTATATATATATATGTTGTATATATATATATATATCTGTTATATATATATATGTTTGGTATACATACACATATACACACACACACAGAAATATATTGAATAATGACAATCTGTGAGGTGCTATCAAATTGCAATTTTACTTTTGTCTCTCATGTCCTATCAAATTGACTTAGTGGAAGCTATTCCTTCTTAGGCTGCTGAAAGAAAACCTGAGCAGCCCCATAACCTTTTTTCATCTCTCTTAGGTAATACAAAATCTAACAGCCCATTGAGTCATAGTCATAGTCCCAATTCATAAATGAAAATATAATAGCTAACTGTCAATCTTCAATCACAAATGAGATATGCCCCCATCTATATCCAGCTATGACAGACTGCAGATGGCCACCTACCTTCTTTAGTAACTAGAAAGCCATGGTTGGCTGTTTTCCTTCCTTCTTATCTCCACTTCTGCCTTCTCCAGGTTTGGTGTGGAGTAGTGGTGTAGCAGTAGACAAAAGGCAAGGGAGAAGCAAAGTTCTTTGCTTAGTACCCTGAAACACTAACAGATGTTTAAAGTTGATCCTTCCCTTTATGGCTTAAGTTCCTCTGCTAGGCCTCTCCCACATAGACTCCTCTTCACTACCACTCCTGACCTCACCTCACCTTTTTCCCAGGGCTACTTACAACTGAGGGTCTTATGGCCTTAGCAAATAACCCTCATGTGCAGAATCTCTTACATAGTGTCCCAGATCAACATACCTAGTCCCCAGACCCACATACCTTTGTCCTACAATCAGAGGCCAGGAGGGTTGGTACTACTCAGTTGCTACCAGGTATGGTTTGGCTCTATGTCTCCACCCAAATCTCATCTCAAATTGTAATCTCTACATGTTGAAGGAATGACATGATAGGAGGTGACTGGATCACGGGGGTGATTCCCTCCATGTTGCTCTCATGATAGTGAGTGAATTCTCACAATATCTGATGATTTTTAAAGTGGCTCTTCCTCCATCACTGCCTTTCTCACCCGCAACTATGTAAGATGTGCCTGCACCTTCCATCATGATTCTAAGTTTCCTGAGGCCTCCCCAGCCATGTGGAATGGTGAGTCAATTAAACCTCTCTTCTTTATAAATTACCCAGTCTCAGGTAGCTCTTTATAGCAGTGTGAAAATGGACTAATACAGAGAATTGGCACTGGCAGAGTGGTATACTACTATAAAGATACTCTGAATATGTGTAAACGACTTTGGAACTTAGCAACAGGCAGAGGTTGGTGGAACAGTTGGAGGACTCAGAAGAAGACAGGAAGACATGGGAAACTGTGGAACTTCCTAGAGACTTGCTGAATGATTTTGACCAAAATGCTGATAGTGATATAGACAGTGGTAAGTCCAGGCTAAGGTGGTCTCAGATGGAGATGAGGAACTTATTGGAAACTGGAGTAAATGTCACCCGTGTTATGCTTTAGCAAAGAAACTGGTAGCATTGTGCTTCTGCCCTAGAGATCTGTGGAACTTTGAACTTGACAGAGATGGTTTAGGGTATCTTTCAGAAGACATTTCTAAGCAGCAAAGTGTTCAAGACGTAACCTGTCTGATTCTGAAAGCATTCAGTTATATACATTCACAAAGAGATTATCTGATACTGAAACTTTTATTTAAAAGGGAAGCAGAACATAAAAGTTTAGAAAATTTGCAGCCTGACCATTAGGTAGAAAAGAAAAACCCATTTTCTGGGGAGAAATTCAAGCCAGCCACAGAAATTTGCATAAGTGACAAGGAACCAAATGTTAATAGCCAAAACAATGGGGGAAAATGTCTCTGGGGCATATCAGAGATCTTCAGGGCATCACAGGCCAAGGGCCCTGCTCCTCTGTGCAGCTTAGTACTTGATGCCCTGCTTCCCAGCCACTCCAACTTCAGCTGCTAAAGGAGGCCAAGGTACAGCTAGAGCTGTTGCTTGAGAGGGTGCAGGCCCCAAGCCTTGGCAGGTTCCACATGATGTTGGGCCTGCAGGTGTACAAAACACAAGAGTTGAGCTTTGGAAACCTTCACCTAGATTTCAGAGGCTATAAGGAAATGCCTGAATGTCTAGGCAGAAGTCTGCTGCAGGTTGAAGGTCTAATGAAGATCATCCACTAGGGCAATGCACAGGGGAAATGTGAGGTTGGAGCCCCCGACACAAGAGTCCGCACTGGGGCACTGCCTAGTGGAATTGTGAGAAGAGGGCCATAGTCCTCCAGACTCCAGAATGGTAGCTTCACCAACAACTTGCACCATGTGCCCGGAAAAGCCGCAGGCACTTAGTGCCAGCCCATGAAAGCATGTGTGGGAGCTGGATGCTTTCATGGGCCGGCATTGAGCCTGTGGCTTTTCCAGGCACATGGAGAAAAACCACAGGGCAGAGTTCCCCAAGGCCATAGGAGCCCACCTTTTGCATCAGCATGCCCTGAGTATGAGACATGGAACCTGTAAGGGTTATTGTCTTGCGAGGTTTATTGCCGAGTTAAAAATGAGGAAACTGAGGCCAGCACAAAAAGATTAAATGCCAATTTATTCGGCTCCCAGGCGAGGGTCTGTGGTCCTGGGGAAAGAGGCCAGAGAAGTCACACCCGACTCCTCTGGGTGTGGGGTTTTATAGGAAGTGAAGGTGTTTGATTGGCTGTGGAGAAACAGGACATGGACGTGGCAAGCTGCTATAGGTAGGTAGGCAGGATTTCCAGACAGGGCAATGTGCTATTGGGTAGGTTTTGGTGGGGCTTTCCAAGGGCAGGCTAGGTGCCGAGAGCAGAGGGGATTTCCAAGGTGGAGCTAGATGATGGGCATATTCTGGTGATGTAATTTTCAGGCGGGGAGAGAGATGGGCGTGTCTGAGCTCCCGGTGAAGCAACCAGCCTTACAGAACCAAAATAAATTTTGGAGTTTTAAGATTTAATGACTGCCCCACCTGGTTTTGGAATTGCATGAGGTCTATGGCCTCTTTGTTTTGGCCAGCTTCTCTCATTTGGAATGAGAACATTTACCCAATCCCTGTACTTCCATTGTTTCTTGGAAGTAACTAAATTGCTTCTCATTTTACAGGCTCATAGGTGGAAGGGACTAGCCTTGTCTCAGATGAGACTTTGGACTTAGACTTTTGGGTTAATGCTAGAATGAGTTAAGACTTTGGGGGACTGCTGGGAAGTCATGGCTATGTTTTGAAATGTGAGAAGAACATGAGATTTGGGAGGGAAGAGAGGCAAAATGATATGGTTTGGCTCTGTGTCTCCACCTGAATCTCATCTCAAATTGTAATCCCCACATGTCAGGGGAGGGACCTGGTGGAAGGTGACTGGATCATGGGAGCAGTTTCCCTCATGCTGTTCTCATGATAGTGAATGAGTTCTCATGAGATCTGATAGTTTTTAAGTGGCACTTCCTCCTTCGTTCTTTCTTGTCTGCCACCATGTAAGAGGTGCCTGGCTTCCCCTTCACCTTCTGCCATGATTGTAAGTTTCCTGAGGCCTCTCCAGTCATGTGGAAGTGTGAATCAATTAAACCTCTTTTCTTTATAAATTACTTAGTCTTGGGTAGTTCTTTATAGCAGTGTGAAAACGGACTGATACACTATCCAAGCTGATTTAACTTCCTCAGGAAGTGTCAGGCACCAGACCACAAGGCCCCCAGCTGAGGAAACATGTCTCAAGATCACCAAGTGTGGCTGTTGAAGCTTTTCTTAAAGACTAGGGTTAAGAAAGCAGTGCTCTTCCACCCCCTCCCTCATAGTGAGGGCCTGAGTGTGGGACTCAGATTTTTCCAAGCACAAGAGCAAGACTGAACTAAAATTCAAACCCAGGCAATCATTACAGTTAAGCTAGTGACTAGGTTGTTTTCAACTTTGAAAAATTTACCTTCTGACAGCTTGTATTTGTTCATTATACAGTATATTGATAACCCAATCTTAGCATTTTGAATGTAGACTTTCAAACACTAGCTGACAAAAGAAATAATTTGAGTTTTCAGCAGTCATCTGCCTGTCAAGTAGTAAGTCCAGATCTCAGCATTGAATATGTAAACAGCCATGTTTATAAAAATATTTCAATATTTTATTTCATTCTTAGTCTTTTTAAACACCAACTAAGTGGAAAATGAAAAATGAAAGTGCTTTGGTATTAACTATAAGCACAAATCTCATAAGCTTGAAATAATTTCCAGGAGAACAAACACAATTCCCTTCAAGGCCCAGATAGCTAACAGCTGGAATGGAAAGTACACACACCACTTCAGGGCATACAAATTCAAAACGCATTTAAAAAAACACACTGCCAAAAATTATCCTGGGTCACAGTGTGTGACTTCTGTTAGAAAAAGACGAAAATCATCAGGCATGGCAAAACTGACTAATCTTTGTTTTTAGTGTGTTTTTGTGTTCAGTGGTGTCCAGTTTGCAGGGAAAGAACATGTACAAATGTCTAGAAGAGGTATGATTAGGGATTTTATAATTTTGGGGGAATATTTCTGGGAATTGATATAATCTGACTTCCAACTACTCATTGAATATTCACAAAATGGACTTGGAGATGCATCTGCACTTAAAAAAGGATTATATGCACCATTAACTATTTTCCGTTCTTTTGGTTTTGAACAGGCGGGGTAGGAAAGGGATGCAATAAAAGGCTGATTTTTTTTCTTGTGCTTGATTATTTGTATGTAAAAATCATATTGTTTCTGTGATCCCCAAATATCTGAGACAGGTCTCAGTCAATTTAGAAAGTTTATTTTGCCAAGGTTAGGGACACATACCCATGAAAAAGCCTCAGGAGGTCCTGACAGCATGGGCCCAGGGTGGTCCGGGCACAGCTTGGTT